TTTTCGGAGAAATATTGCCCTGGTTTGTAACACCTTTTATAGCTAAATCATTTCCAATATCAATAGTATTTTGAAATGGATCAACAGAATTAACGTTCATAGAAGTATTTTCAGCTTTGTTCTTTTTATCGCTTTCAGGAATGTCTTTGATATAATATGATTCTTCAATTAAATATTTTTTAACAGTTTCATCTCCAATATTACAATCTGTTAGAACTACAGAATATGGTTCTTGTAAATTCTTACTAACTGTTATATTATTACATATACATGTATTGAATTTATTCTCAAATAAACTTTTACTTTCCGTTTCTGGATATTCAGATTGTGTATTTATCTCATTTTCAATGTTCTTTTTTAAATCACTATCGTTGTTAAAGTAAATTCTTATGTTTTCTTCTTGTTTACATTTATCTTTCTCTAGTGGTTCTGAGATAATATCTGACTTCTGCCTGTTGGGAATATCTGTAGATCGAGATCTCATACCAGGAGAGTAATACCCTTCGTTTTCATATCCATCCGATTGACATTCATCATTTTCTGCATTAGAGTCATCATTATGATGGTCTGCATCTTCGTCGTTTCCTTCATTATTATCACTTTTGCCATTGCCATCATCGTCTGATTCGTTATCATCCCTATCGTCATTTCTGTAATTTCTGTCTCTACCTTCATCATTGTTATGATCGGAATCATCATTATTGTCATTATTTTTCTTTTCAGAACTCTTTTCACTCTCTTCGTCATCATTTTCATCATTATCAGTGTCCTTCCTGTCACTGTCAGATTCACTTCCGCTCTCAGTAACTTTATTAGAATGTTTCTCTTGAGTTTTCCTTTTTCTTTTTGTCCTTTTTACCCTATGTTTGTTCTTTATTGACTCTGAATCACTTGTTGATACATCATATAATATTCCATTACCGCCTGTGGCATGTTTATTTCTTTGTAGCGAACCAAAATCAAATCCAACTAGACTTTTATCTTTGTCGTTGCATTTGTCGTCTTCTTCCTCATCGTCAGAAATTACTATAACTTCAATCGGGCTTTCTTGGTCACTTACTGACACTAATGTGGCATTAACAGAAAGCATCGGTACAAGTTCGTCTTTAAATGATTGCACTGGTCTGGGTCTTTCCTTAGTTTTATTCAATTTTACAACCTGAAGTTGACATAAAACATTACCGTTTTCAGTTAAGAGTTCATCTTCTGAGATGCAATTTTCGTTGCTTCCTTTTAATTGTTTAAGATACTCTAAAAAGTCCTCTGCTTCATCGCCTGACGTTGAAGATGTCTCTTTGACAATTGGAGTTTTATATATAGGTGATTCAATTTTATTTCTGTCTATTGAATCGATATGTATAGGACTACCGGTAAAACTAGAGCTATTTGTTTCGTATACGATTTTAACTTTTGATTTCTTTCCTTTATCACTTTTAGCATTATTATCTTGGGAAAAATCAGTTTTGTTAATTGATTTCGGTTTGACAATTTCGTCTTCTTTTTCATGCGGTTCTACAAAACGTTCATATTCCTCATACAAATTGTCCTGAATGTTTTCTTTCTGCTGATTTGCTCCAGTTGATTCATCTACTATTATAATATTCGGATTTACTTCATTAGTATCGACGGGAGTACGTTCAGCGTCTAGCGTTCTTTGAGCATTTTCGAAAGATGCTCCCCGAACATCTGTCCGTACTAAATTGTCGTTCTTATACTCTTTAACACCAAATTTGCGTGTTGTAAGTTGTTCGCTATCACTCGCGAAAGATGTTGGCGAATCACGTTTTTCGCTATTTCTGCTGTCTGTTTCTGTTATTATTCCATCAAGTGCAGACGAAAACTTGATAGTAACTGTCACATTTTCGGAAGGACTTCCAGAACCAAAGCTAAAGTCTTCATCAGAAAAATAATCTTTGTCAGCACCAGCTGTATCGCACACCGTAACTAACGGTCTACCGTTATTTTGGTTCCTATCGTAACCGTTTGGAAAAAGAATTTCTTGGTTGTTCACTGGTTCAGCCCGTGCGGTTGTTCCAATTTTACCATAATTACGGGGATCCATTTTATTGTAAAGTCAAGTAATATCCATTTAAGCTATACATCCAAAATAGACACAATAACTTTACTTTCACTGTGTCATACGACTATGAAAGAACAGAAATGAGAAATATGCTGACAATTTGACAAAATGGGTACGTTTAGGCTAATTACTTTAATATGAATCACAGGAAAAAGGATGTTGACAATTTAATCTGTGTCCATAGTAACACAAGGTGACTACATAGGGCGGGATATTTCCTCTGACATGAGAACAAACGAGCAGAATGTCAATGTTGCCGTAGGCGATTATAAAGAACGTTTAAAAACATGATTTATCAAGACTTAATACACTGACGCTTGCATACATAATGATATTACCACCTTGTAGTAAAAAATTATTATAATTTCAAGTACCATTATTATAATTATCATCAATAGTCATCTTTATTTATACTAATATATCTTCTGTAGATATCAATAGTATCATTATAATCTTTCACATTTGTACATTAATTTATTATTATTATTATTATTATTATTATTTATTATTATTATTATTATTATTATTATTATTATTATTATTATTATTATTTTTACTCCTACTTATACCACCATTACTTTATCATCATCATTATCATCATCATTATAATCATTATTATTATTATTATTATTATTATTATTATTAATTGAATTATTATTATTATTATTATTATAATTATAAAAGTATCTCATGAAGTTATTTTTACTGTCATTATCGCATGTACATGTATATAACATTTATTACTGTTACAGCAACTGTAAGAATATTTCATTAGCCGCTGTTAATTATCATCGTGTACACGTGTGTAATATTAACAATATTTACCATAATTACTAAATATACGTATGTATGTGCAATTATAATTGTAAACATATTATGATTTATATTATCAATGTACATGTATAATGTTTATCATAATCGTCACAACACGTGCAATATGTAAACTTAATCATTCCCGCACGTGCACCATGCTCATATATTATAGTATTCACAAACATTTGTGTAAAGAAGTAATTTAAACCACACCTCAAAAAAGGTTATATACACTTACGATTATGTTTACAAATTTCAGAGATATTTGTGTGTTTAAAAACATTTTGTGCGTTTTAATATCTATTTAAGATAATTGAATACATTATCAAATTGAAATGGTCAATCGGCCACGAATGGGTTACATTTAAAACATTTCATGATTCATTTTTTTTCTCATGTGTTTTAATGAAAGTTTCCCTTAAAACCGTCTAAAAGTTGATACCTTGTGTTTTGTTGTTTTTTTTTTTTTTTTTTAAATTAAATATTCACGTAATGAAATGTCAATTAAAATGTTGAAATATTGTAATTCAAACTATAAAGCTACAAAAAAGAAACATATATGCAGGTATAAAGGTACAGGACCTCATTAGACGGCGCGACGGCGCGTCTAGTAGATATGCATTTGTTCATATAGCAATGGGGAAAATTTTAGACTTGATTTTGTACATTTTTTTCTTGGTTTAACAAAATCCGATGTTTTCAAATTTTCTAATAAAAATAGCTTTTCTGATGTACAACATGTCACAGAGCAATAAACGTTTAACTGAAGTGACAGTGCCATGTTTAAATATTCTCTATATCATATTCTTTTTATAATTATCTAATTTTATCTACCTCATAAATAACATGCCAATGAGATCGTTCTAGTCTAATGAAGAGGTATCATTAAAATACGCAACGGATATTTTATTGGCGATACGGAGACAGCGGCATTTTTTTTTTTTTTGCAAAACAGAAAATAATTAACATTTTAGTTATAAAACAGATTAACTGATTGAAAAAAGTACGTTTATTTTAAAATGTATCACAAATATTTGCAATAGGTTATTTTGAAGGATTCTGTGACTGACGATTGTTCATTTCACCTTGATTTTTTACAACATTTAGTGGTCCTATACCTAGATTCTAGGCGAATATGCAATCTTGAGTTTAATCAAGTAGTTTAATCTTTTATAAATAAGAAAACAAAACGTAACTAAGAATTGATTATATATATTTATATATCAATTTATTCATAACTATTATCATAATACTGGCACACGCGACTTTTTGTCATCTGCGCAGGGCAGACAACCACTCTGGAGGACGGTCAAAGCTTTATTTTCTTCCATGAGGCCGTATGTTTTGGGTTGAACTTTCTGTTAAATTTACGGGGAAGAGCTTAATATTTGTAAATATTTCATTGGTCATCTGAAATCTCGGAATATGATTAGCCTTTGTTTAATTGTTAAAGTAACGTAAAGGATTTTTCTGACATTGTATCCGCATCTACTTTTTAATTGATCTAAAGGAGTTCTGGAAACGAACTACAATGTTTCATACAATTATAAGTTCTACTATCAAGATAAATTTAACATTCTTAAGTTTTGTTTAATCGTGCCAACTCCTTTCACTTGACTATGCATCCTCGTACAGATTATTTTTCGCTGCTTTAATGAGTTATTAATGTTGTCCATAATAACGTAACCACCACTTTTTTTTTTAAAGATACTTCTTGTTTTAGATAAGATGTACAGCCCGCTCATTCTAAAAAGGAAGCTATGTAAATAATTTTGTGATAAAAAAGAACATTATTTTTCGTCAAGTGAAACCGCGTAATTATCTGTTTGACATTCCGTAAAAAGACTGTTTTCCCTTTAACCTTTTACTTCATAAAGACGTGTTTGCCCCCTCCCCCTTTTTGAGGCCTCAAACAGTGAAAAAATGCCTTATTTAGGGCCCAAACACTGTTTTTCGTTTGAGCAATGTTGTTAAAAAAGTGGCCCAACTCCCCCCCCCCCCGCCCCATCAAAAAGGTACATCAGGGGGTTGCCAGAAGGGATATCGAGATGTGCCCCCTTCGGTTTGGGGGATTTAAAGGGGGTAGTCCCCCTCATCGCCAAGACAAGAAAATCCGGATTGTCTATTGCATTGGTTTTTCGCCTCGAGCAGATCATAAAATGTCAATGTGGTATAAGCGTTTTTTGTCGAAATTTATAAGCTCATAAGTTAGAAGTTGGGTAGGTATTTTGCGATGATAATACTACTTAATTATCGGTCAGTCAGCCTGTCAAACAACCAGCCAGCCAGCCAGTAAAGTAAACTAAGGTAAAATAAAGTAAAGTACATGTAAAGTAAAGCAAATCAAAGCAAAGTAAAGTAAACTTGAGTGAGTGTATTTATAGCGCCAAGAAGCGACACGTATTTCTATTGTCAACGGAACAATTCTACTGCTAAGAGAGATCATAACAATCTCTGATACGAGAACAGATGCCGAATATCTCAGTGTCGTGTTAAATTTTGCGAAAATTTGATGAAATTATAACAAAATATTAGCAGAAGACGTTTTAAATCAGACAACAATTTTTCCCAGCATGTCATGGGTTGAAACAATTTATCTGCTATCATCAAACGTCAATAATTTTCTATTTCAGTAAGATTCTGTTCATTGACTAAGAAATTCACTTGGACCAGTTTTTTCACTGCTATTTTATGATATCACCGATATTTGCATTTTAGCATGTCTTACTACATGGCCAGGGTCTTTATTTCACAAACTTTGGTAGTTTAGCGCGGAGGAAGGTAGTCTGGTACTGGTGAATACTGTTAGAAAAAGGCGTAAAATGAAACAAACAAACAAAATTATTTCACAAAATAAAGTCCGTCCTTGTGCCTAAGAAAATATATATCCAATGAAATACATCTGAATTTAATAAGATCAAACTACATATATCATTGTCGTTCGAATCTTTATAAGGAATAACACATTAATTTTACCTTGTTCAGAAGACGTGTACTTAACCCCATTTGTGAGAGACGTTAGTTCAAATACTGTCGGCAGAACGTCTGATTGTACTTGACCATTTGTCGTTTGTCCAGTCAGCCCACTTCTAATTCCCCAATCCATATCTATATTTATGTATCCGTTTGCTCCAAATAATATACGCTATGCAAACTTTAATAACTTATTTTACTGTTAACATTTAAAGTTTACAATTTAAGTGTTTATTAATAACTGCACCCATTCGTGCGAGATTTAGCTAAAATTCATATTGAACTACTGTAATTTTTTTTTACTTTTCAGTGTTAAAAAGTTTTGAATGCTAACGTATAACTCATCCTACAATGTCACCAATGCCCTTCCTTGTTCAGTCATAAACTATTTTTACAGTTGTTATTTCTACATTCAAAGATACTTTAATTTCATTTTTTTATATTGAAAGGAATGCATGCATATATGAAGGCGTTTGCACTCTATGTAAAACTCACCCACGCAGAAAATTTGTAAACGATCTGTTTTGCATATATTAAAGCAATCAGTTTTCTACACGAGGACACTTCTTTGTTAAAAAGACCTATTTTATAGAATTTACAATGAACAATATTCTCCGGCTGAAACATTTAAATTTATAAACAAAGTGGTGGAAATTTTCACAATATATTATATTTTACTTCCAGCTATTATCACCTTAACCGTTATTATTATCACCTTCTAAAGATGGCCGTTTTCATTGAAAAACCTCCTGTTACAAGTTCAAACTGCTATAAAACTATGAAAAATGCTTCAATACTTATCAAACTTGGCACAAATGTTGACTCGACCATTGACTTTGTAACGACATGCTCAGTCTTAAATTTCCTGTTACCATGGCAACGAGGGGACATCTCAAAATTGTCAAAAATTACTATTTTGCCTTGATTTTTTCCATCAAAATTTATTTCAAAGTGCTGCAACTTCTCAAGGGATTGAGATAGAGTCGAAGGCTTTTCAGCGTTGGTTACACGCTACCTTATGATCGACCTGGGGTCATTTTTAGTCTCTCACAAGTCCAAAATTTTCTTGGGGGCACATCCCCCTTCTAGCAACCCCATGATGTATCTTTTGGATGGGGGCGGCGCCGAAAAAGTGCTCACTTTTTTAGCAACATTTCTCAAACGAAAACATGTGTTTGGGGCCCAAATAGGACATTTTTTCTCCCCGTAGCCTTAACTCTCTCCGAAACCGCAACTTAACTTAACTCTCCCCGTAATCTCAACTCAACTCGCCCATAAACCTCAACTCAACACAACTCTCCCCTAACCACAACATAACTCTACCGGTCAACTAAAACCAACTCAAATCAACTCTCCCCGTACCGTCAACTCAACTCTCTCGCTAACCTCAACTCAACTCAATTCTCCCCATAACCTAAACTCAACTCAGCTTTCCCTGTCGACTCAACTCAACTCAACTCAACTCTTCCTGACCATTCAACTCAACTCTGCAATCTCAATTCTTCGTGTAGCTTCTCAACTCAACTCTCCTGGTAACCTCATCTTAACTAAACTCCCCCCTCAGTCTCAACTAAACTCTACCCATAATCTCAACTCAACTCTTCCCGTAGCCTTAACTCAACTTTTCCCGAAACCTCAACTTAACTTGACTCTCCCCATAATCTCATCACAACTCTCCCAATAACCTCAACTCAACTCTCCACTTAACCACAACTCAACTCTCCCGGTATCCTCAAATCAACTTAACTCCCCGTTATCACAACTTAACTTAACTCTCCCCGTTATCTCAACTCAATTCTCCCATTAATCTTAACTCAACTCTCACCGTAACCTCAACTCAACTCTGCCCTGAACCACAACTTAACTCAACTCTCCCGGTCAACTCAACTCAATTCTCCCCATAACCTAAACTCAAAACTCCCCGTAATATCAACTCTCCCTGTATCCTCAACTCAACTCTCCACTTAACCACATCTGAACTCAACTCTCTCGGTCAACTGAACTCAACTATCCCCATAATCTCATCTCAATTCTTCGTGTAGCTTCAACTTAACTCTCCAGGCAACCTCACGTTAACTAAACTCTCTCTGTTATCTCAACTTAACTCTCCCCTTAATCTCAACACAACTTTCCAGGTAACCTCACTTCAACTCATCTCTCCCTGTCAACTCAACTCTCCCTGGAATCTCAACTCAACTCTCCACGTAGCCTCAACACAACTCTCCCGTTATCTCAACTCGACTCAACTCTCCCCGTAACCTCAACTCAAACTCTCCCGGTAACTGCAACTCAATTCTCCCCATTATCCCAACTCAACTCTCCCCGTAGCCTCAACTCAACTCTCCCGGTCCATAACTATGTAATGATAGAGTTATGATAGAGTAATGATAGAGTTATTCCCTTTGTTACTTTTCCGTTGCATTTTTCTTGTCTATAGCATAACTTGAAAAGCACTAGTTGGAATTCAATTCAACTTCATACAATGGTCAAGCACATTGAAAGAAAGTGCAGTGCACAAGAACCATAGCTCCATCTTTACTAATTACAAAGTTTTTGCCCTTTGATACTTTTCCTTGTCCAGAGCATAACTTGAAAAATACTGGTTAGAATTCAATATATCTTCATACAATGGTCAAGCACAATAAAAGGAATTACAGTGCACAAGAATCATAACTCTATCCAGAGTTACTATAGTTAATGCCCTTTGTTACTTTTCCATTGTTATTTTTTCTTGTCCAAAGCATAACTTGAAAACCACTTGTTTGAATTCTAAACACCTTCATACAATGGTCAAGCACAATAAGAGGAGGTGCAGTGCACAAGAACCATAACTATGTCTAAAGTAATTATTCAGTTATTCCCTTTGTCATTTTCCGTTGCATTTTTCTTATCTGGAGCATAACTTGAAAACCACTAGTTGAAATTCAATTAAACTTAAAACAATGGTCAAGCACATTGAGTGAAAGCGCAGAACACAAGAACCATAGCTCCATCTTGACTAATTGGAATTCAGTGCAACTTCATACAATGGTCAAGGGCAATGAGAGGAAGTGCAGTGTACAATAACCATATCTCCATCTTCAATATTTGCAGAGTTATTGCCCTTTGTTCCTTTTCCTCGTCCGGTACATAACTTAAAACAGATGTTTGGAATTCAATGCAACTTCATACAATGGACAAGCACAATGAGAGGAAGTGCAGTGCTCAAGAACCGTAACTCTATTTGGACTTCTTACAGAGTAGGCCTAATTCAATAACACTTTGTCAATGGTCAACCAAAGTGAAAGGGAATGCAACATACAAGAACCACAACTATCTTTAATTGCCCACAACCATAACTCTTCAATTCTTTTACAAGGTATTCTGTTACTAGTAACTTCATCATTTCCAAAGTAGTCTTGTCGGGGTATTAATCACATTTAGTGATAGCTCTAGTTTTAAGATTAATTTTTCATTACCCTTTTCCATTGTGGATGTCGGTCGAAAGTACATCCTACCCACATCTTTAATGTATATATTATAAAATAAACAGCTAAGTGTAATATGCAAACAAAAAACAAAAAGACCAAGCAACAAAATATACGGCTATAATCTATTGAAACGATTACAATGTAGTATTATGAACAAGGCATGCCTACGGGCAGAATGTTGAGCCCCGCTCGTCTTAAATCAGACCTGGACCTATTAGCTTCAGATCATGGAGAAACCTACATGTATTCATAGACACATCCTCTTTATTCTTTACATTGCATCATCTAAGGTGACCTTGACTCGGTGATAAGGTTTATGTGTATGACATGATAAAAAAACTCAATTCGTGTTATTTGAAAATTCCCCAATACACTAAGAGGACATTGCATGGACAAGTTAGGATGCACACACAAACACTGAGCCGTCATTTTGACAACTGTCGAGCTCAGCGCAAGCGGGCTCGACATAAATCCTCTGGCCATGACCCATAATACTTCAAAGCATAAGCAAAATATAGTGCGGACAAAACAAATGTTGTTAGATTTATTTGACTTCTTATGACATTGGCCTTTATTTTGCACAAAACAACTCAACACACCATGGAGAATATTTATACTAAGTTATATATAAATCCATCCATGTACGAGTAGATCTACACGTCTATAGAAATTATACTCACAAATGAATTAATACTAGCTCTAATGTTTTTCTTTCATATTATTGCATTGATTTAGTTTCATTTTTCATTTGAAGTTATGCTGTAAACGAGGATGTATTATGCACAAATCGAAGTTTTGTTCTATTCTGCTCACTAAATAACTGTCACACCATTGTTGTATTTTGTACGTATGGAGAATTAGTATGAGTGACATTTACGTAGTGACAATTGCTAGATGAATTGTAATAGGGCGGTAAAAAAAGAATATGTTTATAGATTGCCCCGAGTAACTGCTCCAAAAACATATCTGGTCTGTAGACAATTACAATAGAAGATTTCTAAAATATTCATATGAAATCATTTGTGTGTGAAACTGGTAATAAAATACCGGTAAATATTTCATTATTGAAATGATTACAAATAGCTTTAGTTAATCACATTCAGACAAACATTTTATTGAAACTTTGCAAGTCATCAGGCGTTTTATTAGCTCACTTGTACTCAGAGGTGAGCTTTTAGGTTGCTAACGTGTCCGTCGTCCGTACGTCATTGTCCACAATTTCTTTAAACAACATTCCTTCTAAACCACTTGAAAGATTTTGACCAAAGTTTACAGCAATGATCATTAGGTGGTCTCGACAAAAACTATATAAATGGTTATACATGATTAGGTCATAGGACCTGAAAACAGATTTTAAAAATTATATTAAAATTTCTACTCAGAAACCGCAATGCCAAGAACATAGAAATTTGGCATGTAGCATCACCTTATGGTCTTGTACAATATAGATCTTCCCCCGGCGTCAAAAATGACACAGCCGTAGGGCTCAAATAGTTTACAAAGGCCTATAAAGGAAACAATACAATATTTAAGTTTCCTATCATGAAACTGAAATGCATAGAGTTTAGATATGTTGCTTTTAAGCATTGTCAAATAGATCTTTCCAAAAGTAATATCAATCATGCCTCTGGGGTCAAAATTGGTCCCTGCCCAAGGGTCATTTGGATTTGTAATAGTGGCATTTTTATAGAAGAACTGCTCGGACATATAAAGAATCGTTCGGACATATATCGATGACAATTTGGCCATAATAAGGAATGTATATTTGTATTTTGTGGGTTTGTTGTTGGGATACAAATAACAACCAAGTAAATTTAAATAAACAATAATCTTTTAATCATCAAGTCCCAATTATGAATATAATATGTCTATGAATGAAAAGTTTATTAAATAATTTTTTTAGTAAAGATTCCTATTTAAGATTAGTACAGCTTTATGGAGTTATAAATTGACAGTAAGCAGTCGATTTGAATTAACACTTGGAAGTGTTTACTTTAAGACCGAAGTCTTTATTTAAAGTCAAGGCTTGAGCCTTTTTGTAATGACCTAGATGATGCAGTACCGAACTAACAATGACAAATTTCGGCTATTTATTTGTATAACAATTGATTAGATAATAATGAAAATAATCTAAAAATTGATTCGTTTATTATAATTGATAAGAGTCAATCAAATTACTTCTTTTATAATGTACTTGGCAAGACAATCAAAATGGATGCCTCCATGAAAAAAACCATTGTGGAAAGTAAACAATTCATAAAAATGTAAGTTAATCAAAAGTCGTTCTGTTACAGATTATATACTCTTGTATAAGGAAAATCATTTAAATCTTCTTTTTGTGAAACTATGTTAATGCTAAGAGATGTAATATTTGGCATGTAGCATTGCTTCGTAGACCCAAAAGTTACATAATTGTAAAGTAAAAATGTCTCAAAAATCTTCTTTGAAATGACAATGCCAAGATCTATGATATTTTGCTTGTAGCATCACTTATTTGTGGTCTTCTACAACCGTTATATAAATCATGCCACTTGGGTGCCCAGGATTACTTAGTTTATGTAGACTTGTATAGGAAAATGCTTTTAAGTCTTCTTTTGTGAAAATAAATTTCCATGACCATAGAAATTTTGCATCTCTCATTGCAAAGTGGACATCTACAAATAATGTAAAAGCCGGGAAACGGACAAAAGCCCTCCCAGACAAAAGCCCTCCCGTCAAAAAATGACAAGGCGGACAAAAGCCCTCCCGTGAAAATGACAGGGCGGACAAAAGCCCTCCTGTGAAAATAACAGGGCGGGCAAAAACCCTCCCATGAAAATGACTGGGCAGAGAAACTTTAACTTTTTACACGAAATTCGTTAAATACAAAGTCACTTTTTAAAGTGATTGACTTCTGTCCGCCCTATTATTTTCACGGGATGGCTTTTGTCCGCCACGTCATTTTTACGGGAGGGCTTTTGTCCGCCCTGTCATTTTCACGGGAGGACTTTTGTCCACCTTGTCATTTTCACGGGAGGGCTTTTGTCCGCCTTGTCACTTTTTGACGGGAGGGCTTTTGTCCTACACTCCCTTTTTATCTATGCAGGTGTGAAAAAACTTGTCAGTGTGTGTTAATTTCTTATTGGCAATTAAATTATAGCCCTTTCATCATGATTAATTGTGCCTTTCCCTGCTGTATAGGTACGATTTTCAAAATGTTTTTCATTTGTTTAGGTTTTCTCCATATAAAATGTAGAAAAGAATTGGGAAACTTTTGTTAAATGATTCCTGTTTGATCTTGAAGTTATCTTGTTTGGACATTAAGTTTATGCAAAAATAGTAATACTAATTTCCATTAATTGCATATTTCAGAAGCCAATGAAAAGATATAATAATATATTTCAGACAATGTGTTGATTTAATTTCTAATTTTCTGAATAAGATTCATGGATTTGCATAATAAAATAACTTAAAGACAGCTATTGCAAAAAAAATCAAATATGACTTATACAAAAGGGTTGAATAGTTAATACCAAATGATTGAATAAAGTCATTGTTTAAACACATCATAATCATCAATAAATATATAAAACCTCTGAAAACCGGAATCTTCTGAAAACCGGTCTTTTGGTCAAGTCCGGACAGGGCCCAGTTTTCAGATTATTTACTGTATAAGTATATATCACAAATGTTAATCTCTGACATGCATATTCACAGAATTCACTTTCATATCCAACGTTCTAGCACAAATAAACCTAATATATCTTTATTTCAAAATATCTTGAAAATCATTATCTACTTGATCTTTATAAACAGATGGTCTCTGTTAACAAGTGGCCATTAACAAAGGTTTCACAGTATTTTATCATTATGCTGAGTCAACTAGAGCAAGACTTTAGAGTAAATAATGCGTATGATCAGAACACAGTTATTTTGACCCAATTAATCATGACCATCATCAGCTGGGTGGGGTAATGTCCGGGAAAACAACTCGAAATACATCTTCGTATGTGTCAGCATAATGAACTTCTATTCCTTGTGCTATAAATTCTGGTAAATCAGAAAAGTCTTTACGATTATCTTCCGGCAAGATGACACATTTCATACCAGACCGCTTTGCCTATAAAGTAAATAATGTAGTCTGATAATACATGTGACATCTTAATAAAACAACAAAAACAATAAAACACACAAGCTGTAATAAGCTACTTATTATAATCTCATTGTTGTCATATATTAGTCCTGCAGGATTATTGATATCAATAATTTTAGTGTTGAGGATCATATACCAGTTAAACTTGTGCAAGGGGTCTTGGAATTGTTGTACTTAATATATCTATAGGGCTTGGAGTTGCTGTTCTTTATACATCTATATATTTTCATATGAAAAACGGTGTATGAAATTAAATAAGTACAGGTACAACTCAAAACAATTTTGCACTTACAGTGCAACCTGTAAAGAACAATAACCACTTTACAACAACAGTATCAATTCTTTCTAAAGTAAGTCTTCACAATAAGCTTTTCCTCCCTAGAGCAAAACCACTTAGCAACAACAAAAATCTCCATTACCTTGCTCTGCAGTGGTTATACTGTCAAACTAACAGTAAAATAAATTGTAAATTGCTCAAGATTGAAATATCTATGAAAAAGGAAACTTACGGCTATCACTTTTTCTTTCACTCCACCTATAGGCAATACTTTTCCTGTTAGTGAAATTTCTCCTGTCATAGCTAGATCTTGTCTACATGGCTTATCCAGACCTAGAGACAATAATGCTGTAACTATGGTAACACCAGCACTTGGTCCATCTTTTGGTGTGGCTCCCTGCAAAAGTAATGAAGTTAATACAAACACATTTCAAAAAGTGGACAACTTTATGGTTTTGAGTAAGCATTAGACAAGTCAAAAAATTTCTGCATGAAATTGAAGACTGGTGGTGGAAATTTAACAGAATATTTAAATGAACTGCAAAAACATAAATGCTTAAGATAATTTGCATGTATTCCTAAATTATTGATAAAGAAAACTGCCATAAAATAATAATAATGATTTACCTCTGGTACTGTAGAATGAAGAATCGTGTTTCCTAGATGTTTAATTTTCAGGATTAGTTTTATGAAAATAAGAATTTTGGGCGTTATGTATTATTGCTAGGGTTGTAATACTCTCTCCTGCATTACGTTACCAAGGTTACCTGTAACCTGAAGATCACCAGAATCTTTACTTTCAAGGTCAACAGCCTTCTTTAATACCGTCTCGATGTAGAGAGTTGATCCACCTAAAACAAGAACCGGTTGAACCGGGTGATGCTCCCCGAGAAGGTTCTGGACACAGGAAAGTATAAAAAAAATGAACAAAGGGCAATAACTCCAAAATTAGACCAGGCTTTGTTTAGGTTCTTGAAGCGTTGCAGTTCTATCCAATTATATCTAGCTACCTACAAAGTTTCATGTTGATATCTCTAATAGTTTTAAAGTAATGTCCAGGACAAAAGTCATAAAGTAAAAATAAACAAAGGGCAATTACTTCAAAATAAGGCAAGGCAGAGTAATGATTCTTAAGCACTGCACTTCCACCCAATGAGACCTATCTATCTACAAAGTTGCATGTTGATATCTCTTATAATTTTAGAGTAATGTCCCAGACAAAGTTCAAAGTGTCAAAATGAATAAAGGGCAATAACTCCAAAAGTAGGCAAGACAGTGTTACAGTTCTTGTGCACTGCAAACTTACTTAATGAGATCTATCTACCTTCAAAGTTTCATGTTGATATCTCTTATACATTAAGAAATATGTCCCGGACAAAGTTCAAAGTGTAAAAATAAACAAAGGGGGATAATTCAAAAATTAGGCAAGGCAGAGTTAAGGTTCTTGTTCACTGCACACCTACTCAATGAGATCTATCTACCTACAAAGTTTCATGTTGATACCTCTTATACTTTTAGAGTTATGTCCCGGACAAAGTTCAAATTGTAAAATAAACAAAGGGGGATAATTCAAAAATTAGGCAAGGCAGAGTTACGGTTCTTGTGCACTGCACACCTACTCAATGAGATCTATCTACCTACAAAGTTTCATGTTGATACCTCTTATACTTTTAGAGTTATGTCCCGGACAAATTTCAAAGTGTAAAATAAACAAAGGGGGATAATTCAAAAATTAGGCAAGGCAGAGTTACGGTTCTTGTGCACTGCACACCTACTCAATGAGATCTATCTACCTACAAAGTTTCATGTTGAAACCTCTTATACTTTTAGAGTTATGTCCCGGACAAATTTCAAAGTGTAAAATAAACAAAGGGGGGTAATTCAAAAATTAGGCAAGGCAGAGTTACGGTTCTTGTGCACTGCACTTCTACTCAATGAGATCTATCTACCTACAAAGTTTCATGTTGATACCTCTTATACTTTTAGAGTTATGTCCCGGACAAAGTTCAAAGTGTAAAATAAACAAAGGGGGATATTTCAAAAATTAGGCAAGGCAGAGTTACGGTTCTTGTGCACTGCACTTCTACTCAATGAGATCTATCTACCTACAAAGTTTCATGTTGATACCTCTTATACTTTTAGAGTTATGTCCCGGACAAAGTTCAAAGTGTAAAAATAAACAAAGGGGAATAATTCAAAAATTAGGCAAGGCAGAGTTACGGTTCTTGTGCACTGCACACCTACTTAATGAGATCTATCTACCTACAAAGTTTCATGTTGATACCTCTTGTTGTTTCAAAGTTATGTCCCGGACAAGAAAAGGGGACGGACGGACGGACGGAAAGACGGACGGACGGACAGACGGACGGACGGACAAGGTGGCGACTATATGCTCCCCCGAAATTTTTTCGGGGAGCATAAAAATTGTTTATATGAAATTGACCCACTTCTCCTATCATTTTTATTTTCAATAACTTTTGCTAGCTCCATAAGGTGAAACATGGTAAAGACCCTAATAGGACTCAAACCCACGGTCCATAGTTTAAAAATAAGACACCATACCCACTACTAAGCCTCTCCTCTTATTCTTGAATCCTCATTTTCATCCTTTATTTGAATAAATTCAGCATGAATTGTTTGTGAAACCTATTAATTTATTAAACAGCCAGGTTTTCAATAAAATATAACAATTCATGGTGGCAGGGGCCTTGTGAATGATGTGACAACTGCAACCTTGTCATGATAAGCAAGTATTCCAAGTTTTATGTTGAAATTTTAAAATGTTTTGTTATGGGCTACATTAAAGTTTTGATGACAACAACAATGTCAAAGCGATCATAAAAGCTTGACTTTTTCTTTAAAAGAAACTTGAATTAGCATTGATCCATTTCCCCCTTCCAGTAAGAGATAAAAGACATATATATCATACTACAATTACTCATAGCTTTCCATACCTAGTACACAATACACACATTTTAGTCATGAAAATTTGCACTAGCCAGACAGTAACACAAAGGTAAATTTAATTAAGAGTAAGTAAAAATTCCACAATTTTTATATTTGGGCTTGAAAAACATTTATGGCTTTACACTACAGAATATGAATTCAGGTGAAGTTAAACATGAATTTCATTGACTGACAAATTGTTTGTTTTAAATGTTCTTGTCTTACCCATGGCTGTCCATGCAAGTCCTGTAACAACACCAGGAGGTGTAATATCATACATCCTCTCCTTGGTAAACAGAGGCTTCCCAACAAAGTCTTGTAAATTATCCAAATCTACACTTATACTGGCTATATTTTCTGAAACAATCTTCAGTGCAGTTTTCCTATATATCTGAAATAAACACAAATATTTTATTATGGAAATAGAAATACCAGTGCACAAAATATTTGGTAACTTTAGAGAATGAAATGTGATGTGATAATTAATAACACAAATGATTCAGTCTAAAAAGTATTCTAACACTCCACGTGATTTTTCACTATAGACAAAGAAGGAAAAAAAAACGGTGTTAAACTGCCAATAAACACTGGTTAGGGACTACTTGTATATGCGGCTGTTATGTTTTCACCTTCGATTATATAGTTTACAAGGCCTTTTAAAGCAACAATAAAAAGCATTTTCATTTATATTTTCAGTTCTTATAATGTTTTCTTTTCATATAATACCGAAATAATATCTCACAAACACTAATGCCACATATTTGATTCATATCAGTTAATAAATATTTTGACAAAACGGCGCCAATCCATAAGCCGCGTAATGATGTCATCCTAAGTAAACAACTCATTCATAAATAAGCTGACGTTATTTCACACATACAAGAATGGTAAATGGGGCACTGATGTAAACACAATACGACGTTAGTTTTTTGTTGTTGAAAACTTGATAAAATAACGTTTTTTTCTTAATATTTCTTTTAATTAATAATTTCTATATCTTCGCAACAGTAGGGTGCGAAAATCGTACAGCGTTATACGAAAATCGGCACAGGAAGTAATTTCCGCTTTGAAAAAAAATAACATTAGTGATCTTCCTTATTTTATTGTGTAAGAATCGAAATAACATCGGCCTGAGAGGTGTATTTAACTATTGTATTGGCTATTTAACACCGGTTTTGTCGTTTTGATGCGGGAAAATTAACCACTCTAATTTCTACGCATCAAAACTCCAAACTGCTGTTAAATAGCCGATATACACCTCTCAGGCCGATGCTATTTCTTAATTAATTTAGTATTGTATCAATAAAGATCATTGTAAGACTTGTAAGATATTATTTCGCCTGTTCTAATGTAATGTTCATTCTTTTTACAACTTACGATTACAAGCTGCAATTGTTTGATTTCTCAGATTTTGGCTACTCAAACTTGCCATTCTTTTCCTTCTTTGAGCCAATATCCAGCAATAATGTAAAGGTCATTAAAGTTCAGAATACTAGCTGTATTTGATCCTTACAAAACAAACAAACGGCAGTAAGATCTGAACCTCAACAGTATTATTCCCTTCGCCATCAATGTATTATATACTTTGAGTTTCTATTTTAAAATCTGTGTCCGCCATAGGTCAACAAACCTTTTACTATTTTGAAGTATACTGAAACTTTATTGATATCATTATCAACCCTTGGCCATAGCATATTTTTTTATAATTTGGAACTCACATATATTCATGGCTCATGAGAAAGACTTTGGTATCAGTGCAAAAATCTGGCAGTCAACTGTAACCAAACTAGTCAAAAAGCGTCTTTCTGTAGGCTAGCCCAGCTCTATCATAATGTTTATCATAAGCAAGTCAATAATATCTCTGACCACATACCTTCTCTACATGTTTTTGAAGATTTCTCACACCACTCTCTCGACAGTAACATTTTATAAGTTCCTGCATGGCATCCTGGGATATTGTCACCTGATCTGACTTGATTCCAGTGTGTTCTTGGGCTTGGGGTATAAGGTATCTCTGCGGAAAAAAATTCAACTTTATAAACCCTACGTACTTCAAGCTTGGTTAAAAAGTTACAAAACAACCGATTTCTTTGAACACAAAATCTAGTAATCTTAACGATGAAATCATATTTAAGAGGCAGATACCACAACCACTCAGCCAACAGTCCACCTTAACTATAACTAGTTTCTTAAAATATCTAGGCACATTAAACCCCTTAAAATATTACCTCAGCTATAGCTAGTTTTTCCTCAGCAACATATCCAGACACATTAACAACTTAAAATATTACCTCAGCTATAGCTAGTTTTTCCTCAGCAACATATCCGGACACATTAACAACTTAAAATATTACCTCAGCTATAGCTAGTTTTTCCTCAGCAACATATCCAGACACATTAACAACTTAAAATATTACCTCAGCTATAGCTAGTTTTTCCTCAGCAACATATCTGGACACAATAACAACTTAAAATATTACCTCAGCTATAGCTAGTTTCTCTTCAGCAACATATCCAGACACAATAACAACTTAAAATATTACCTCAGCTATAGCTAGTTTCTCTTCAGCAACATATCTGGACACAATAACAACTTAAAGTATTACCTCAGCTATAGCTAGTTTTTCCTCAGCAACATATCCAAACACATTAACAACTTAAAAGTATTACCTCAGCTATAGCTAGTTTTTCCTCAGCAACATATCCAGACACATTAACAACTTAAAATATTACCTCAGCTATAGCTAGTTTCTCTTCAGCAACATATCCGGACACATTAACAACTTAAAATATTACCTCAGCTATAGCTAGTTTTTCCTCAGCAACATATCCAGACACATTAACAACTTAAAATATTACCTCAGCTATAGCTAGTTTTTCCTCAGCAACATATCCGGACACAATAACAACTTAAAATATTACCTCAGCTATAGCTAGTTTTTCCTCAGCAACATATCTGGACACAATAACAACTTAAAATATTACCTCAGCTATAGCTAGTTTTTCCTCAGCAACATATCAGGACACAATAACAACTTAAAGTATTACCTCAGCTATAGCTAGTTCTTCCTCAGCAACATATCCGGACGCAATAACAACTTAAAATATTACCTCAGCTATAGCTAGTTTTTCCTCAGCAACATATCAGGACACAATAACAACTTAAAATATTACCTCAGCTATAGCTAGTTTTTCCTCAGCAACATATCCGGACACATCAATCAGCTCCATCCTGTCTTTTAAAGGTTCTGGTATTGTGTCTATTATATTGGCTGTACAAATGAACAGTACCTGAAGAAGATTTGAATTGTTCCTTTAAACAGTAACTGTAAATTGTATCAAAGCATTTTATTTGAAATTCATTGAGTTTAATTTTTCTTCAATTTAATAATGCCTTAAATCTTACAGAAACAAGAATATAAATTAACAAGAACTGTCGGAGGACAGTATTGGCTCAACTATTTGGAAAAGTTGTCACCAAGGGTGTTTTAATGAGTATAATAATGCTAATTACCTATGAATACATACAATTGACCGAAAAGGTACAAAGGCTTGTTATTAAGATGTTTTATCAAGTAAATCACTGCTTTATTATTATGAATGCATAAAATTGTCCCAAAAAAAGGCACAAACCCTTCAGTAGTTATGAAGATAACAGCTTACAAGCAAAACTTTACCATGAGTTTCTAAGTTGAAAAAGGGGAGAAAAATCATCCTAAATGCAAGATAGAATTACGGATCTTGGTCAGTGGCCTACAATTATGACCCTAAATGCATATGTGAAGTTTTAAATAAATATCTTAAATAGTTATTGAGATATGTAAAACTTGCATGTTAACATTAACAAAGAGACTAAGTAGAAAAGGGGAGATAAATCAGCCTAAATGCAAGATAAAGTTATGGAATTTGGTCAGTGACATACAATTATGACCCTCCATGCATATGTGGGAAGTTTGAAATCAAAATCTCAGATAGTTATTGAGATATGTAAAACTTACATGTAAACATTAACCAAGAGACTAGTAAAAAAGGGTGAGATAAATCAGCCTAAATACATGACACAGATATGAGTGCTGTTCAGTGATCATTATTTATGACCACAAATATACATATGAAGTTTCAAGTTTGTATCTTTAATAGTTTCAGAGATATGCAAAACTTGCATGTTAAACTAAACCAAGAAAAGGAGATTTTTTTAGTATAAAAGGGAGCATAATTCAGTCAAAATACATGGCAGAGTAATGAATCTTGAGATGTGACCTTCAATTATGACCCTAAGTACATGTGTAAAGTTTCAAGTAAATATCTTATAATAAGACCTTTAACCAAAATTTCTAAGTTTCAAAGGGGCAAATAATTCTGCAAATATTGCAGGCAGAGTTATGCAATTTTGCAAACTGATGTACACTGCTACTATAAAAAAGTCTTTTAAATTTCAATTGAATACCTCAAGCAATAATTGAGATATCTGACTTTACAAAAAAACTTTAACTAAAATTCTAAGTTAAAAAGGGGCATAATTCTGTAAATATTGTAGGCAGAGTTATCCAACTTGTCAATCTGATTTACATTGTTACTATACATAAGTATTGTAAGTTTCAATTGAATATCTCAAGCAATAATTGAGATATTTGACTTTACAAAAAACTTTAACCAAGGCAGACGGCGACGCGGACGCCGGGGCGACTACAATAGCTCTCATATTTTTCAATAGTCGAGCTAAAAACCTTTTTGTCAGACCCATGTCTTGAACAATAAGTATCAAAAATTTCCATTCATTTACAAAAGAACTTTTTTTTTCCAGACTAATAACAACATCCTTGCAAAATATGTAAGGGCATTTTAACCTCATATGACAGAGGCCTAAAAAGGCCAATTCCCAAATGAAATTATCTTTAAAATCATGCAGATTTTCCAAAAATCATTAACAAGGTTTTTACTTTCCAAAATTTGCAATTTTAGCAATGATTTTTCTGAAAATCAAAGGCTAAAGCCTCTCCCTAATAAAGACAGGAAAAAAAATGTATGTTCAAAACATGTTCTGAATCTTTCATAGTACTTATAATTATAAGATCATAGTATTATACCTTAGAGAGGTCAACGTTCACATCTAGATAATGATCGAGAAAGTTAGCATTTTGTTCAGGGTCCAACAACTCTAACAGTGCCGATGCTGGATCACCCTGGTGTCCTTTACCAATCTTGTCAACCTATTTCATATAACAAAATTATAATATATATAACACAAAAATATGAGCATCAACCAACTTTTTTATCTTGTCCCTGACATTAATTACTTATATTAATATTGCCTAAATAGCACAGATAAAATTTTCATGCCCATTTACAATCTATGTCAAATTTTAAATACACTGCCACCCCACTCTCTTGTCCAGGTCCAAGGTCACAACCCTGGACTTTTAGTGTATTAGCGAATATACTCAATCCACTTACATGAGCATATCACAGTATCTTTCTGTATCAGTTCTTTCAATTTAAATCATTTCAAATAAAATATTTGTTTCTTAATCATTTAAATAATATAATATAGGCAAATATTATTTTCTTTACTGTTACTAGTAAAAATCGATAAAAATCGCAAAATAAAAATGATAACAAAACCACTTTCTTATAAAGATAACGACCAGAAAACAGCTCCACGGTATATCTTATGCACAAATGGAAAATTACCTGTTCAAGGAACTTGACGTCTGCATCATTGTTTTACACTGAGATATGATTGGGCAATAAATATAAGAATTGACAAGAGCTTACTTCATCAATTAAAACTAATGGGTTTTCTGTTTTAGTCTTCTTCAAGCATTGGATAATTTTTCCTGGCATGGCGCCAACATATGTCCTTCGATGACCTTTGATCTCTGCCACGTCTGTCATACCTCCTACACTAAATCTGAAATACTATAAATAGCAACACTTTCAAACAGAGTTCACATTCAATCCTTATACAACAAAAGAGCATTATCCTAGACTTTAACATGCTTCATATTATTCCTTACATGAGGACTTTTTTCAGCATCTTTCATGAGCCTCACAATACAAAATTAACTATAAACTTTAAGATTTTAAAAAAAATGATTGTTGTTATTTTGGTGGTCAATCAACATCAGAAATTTGTTAGGTAATATAAAGAAATTTCATGCTTTCTCTTTGAAAAGTTATGATATATAGTACAGGATACATAATAATTAGTAATACCTCTCTATTTAATGCCCTGGCAATAAACTTAGCTATACTGGTCTTCCCCACACCTGGTGGACCATGAAAACACAGAATCTTGCCTTGAGTACTACCCTTCAGCTGACTAACAGCTATAAATTCCTGTCAAAAAAGAAAAGTATTTCAATTTATAAAATACATGTACCTCTTCCACAAACTTTTATTATTTGAAGTACAAAACAGAAGAAAAAATTCAGGTCTGTGGTAGATTCAAACTGAAGAGCTGCTTATAAACAAAGACAATACCTGAGTCAAAGAACTGTGTTCTTGGTGCCGTTAGCATGGATTTATTCATTTCTAATCTTAATGGATTTAACTCACTAGAGTGTTGGAGCAGTACCTCTAGACGCTTGCAGAAATCATGATCACAAAGTAGGATATTGTTTTTTCGTAAATTTCCATTCATGACTGTACATAAATCGGTGTAAAGCAATAAATTAAACGTCTTAAACTGCGTTTTCGTAGGTGAAAAGGCGAGATTTTAACATTTAATCCTTCAAGTGCCTTGTCTGGTATATACCAGAATACAGTATTTAGCATGGTGCTCTGACACTTTTTTTAACATTTAAGCTTAATTATTGGAAATTTATTTATTTGGATGGGTTTAAAGTCACATCAACACTATAAAGGTCAAGTGGTAACTTGGAGAAATTCAGCAAACAATACATCTTACAATAATGTGTTTATATAGTGTTTTATGGTTATACATGCAACCATACTTCTAAAATATTTTTCAGGGAAAATCTCCCAATCATTTTTTGCATTCTAAAAGAGACACTGTGAAAGATGCCTACATTATCAAATATGTCATACCAATATTCTCTTTTTAACATCCTCCATACCATAGTGGTCTTCTTCTAATATTTCTTTTGCCTGTTGCAGATCTAGATTTTCTTCACTATATTTTCCCCATGGCAAGTTGGTCAACCAGTCTAGATAATTTCTTGTCACACTGTAAGAAAACATGTTAATTCATGTCTATTATGGTTCACCTTTGTCATAACTACATGTATGTTGATTTTTTTTTCAACAAAGAATATCTCTGGTTATTAAGAGTGCAAAAAATAAAGCATCCACTTGAGGATTCCACAGATATCAGTAATTTCAGTGGAATAGAACTCCTGTCCTCAAAATATATAGTCTGACAGTAATACCACTAAACTAAGTAACCCAATGAAGAGGTAGTGATTTTAAAATATACTTTTACATCACTCAAACATTCAGTATAAAGAACAAATATATACATCCATTTTACAAGAAGAAGTCTGATCAAATACAATGTATATCCACCATTCATATCAGTAGAAGGTCCATTTCAGTGTATTCCTACAATGATTAACTTCTGGAGGAAGACTTAGACTGCTGCTCTCTGCATTTCTACGGCCTCTTGAGTAGAACCACAACCTTGCATGATCTTGCTAGTTAGTTTCTTTACAGGAGTCCTAACTCCCTGTCAAATAATTAAACTAACCAACCCAGTGACATTTGTTTTAAAGAATATGCTCAAGAACTTACTTAAATTCTGATGAATGGTTATCAAGGGTAGACAATTTGTTGAGTTCTTCATTTATCACAGTCATAACATGCTCCGGTACAGTCAGATCCTGAAATATAATAACAAGAATATCTTAACATACTGAAGTTGCGAAATTGATTTGCCCTGCTTTGAATTTGGAATAGTCCATTTAAAGTTTAAGGGATTCAATGTCAAAGCTACCAACAGTACAGAGATGATCAGACAGCACAAGGTCTAGGCTCACTGACCCTATACTGGTGGCAAAGACTAAACATTTTCAGTTCCAGAAGGTTAAGGGTTACTTAGTTGTATTTTGTTGTATCTGATTGGCTAGAGTCAAAAGAAATTACATACCACAACAAGAGCTGTCCGTAAGACAGCGCGCTCGACTTTTTTATTGCTTGCCAATAAAAAAAGTTTTTGCAGTAAAAGGCAATACAAGAATCTCTGTATTTTTAAAGTGAACAATGGCCATGAGCATTAAGATATTTAGTGAAGAATTATTTTACTGAATTGTGTGATACCCTTGAACACTGTAGCTGGTCACTTGTCCACCAATCAAATAGGCGAGATAAAATGTGAAATATGCATATACTACTGATTTTAATTTCAAGTACAAAAAGAGAAAAATAACTAGTTGTTTGATACCCTTGAATATTACAGCAATGTTTATATGACATAATTTATGGTAAAGTGAACAAGTGGATAGGAATGAATTTTTTTAGATTTTTTAAGTTTTTTAGTGCTTGCCTATAATACAAACATTGACAGTTAAGGGCCATAATTCAAATAAAATCTTTGACAGAATTACCTTCTCCTGGACATGTTTGGGAATCATGATTGTAAACAAGTATTCCAACTTTCAAATTAATATCTCAAACAGTTCAGTCAAAAAGTGGACTGGTACTAAAAACTTAACCAAGATTCTAAGTCGATAAAAGGCCTTAATTTTTAAAACAAATCCTTGACAGAGTTACCTTCTCTTGCGTACAGATGGGGGTAATGATGTGAAATAGCATTAAAAGTTTCAAAGCAATATCTCAAAGGGTTAAGGCAATAAGTGGATTTTACCCATATTCAATGTATTTTCTAAGTCAAAAAGGGGCATAATTCTGTCAAAAACCTTGACAGAGTTATGTCCTCTTGTCTGTTGATGAAGGTCGTGATGGTAAACAAGTATGGTCAGTTTCAAAGCAATACCTCCAATGGTTTTGAAATAAAGTGAGGTGGTACAAAAAACTTAACCAAGCTCAATACACTTTCTAAGTCAAAAAAGGGCCATAATTCTGTCAAAAACCTTGACAGAGTTATGTACTCTTGTCTGTAGATGGAGGTTATGATGGTGAACAAGTATGGTAAGTTTCAAAGCCATACTTGTAATACTTCTGAAATAAAGTGGGGTGGTACGAAAAACTTAACCAAGGTGTGACGCCGACGCCGACGCCGGGGCGAGTAGGATAGCTCCCCTTTTCATAGAAAAGTCGAGCTAAAAACTAACAGAAAGGAATCACAAAACCTAGTTTTTGAAAACTTATAATAGAAGTAGACTTACAAGATACATATAAAACATGAAAACAAGTCAGAAACAGAACTATAAGAACCAAATAATTTACAAAATTTCTAATGCATTTTAGCATGCCTAACTATGAGGGAACACAGGAAAGTTTATTTTTAGTCTCAATCAATATCTTGCCTCAGAGACTTTGACCTCACTGACTTCAAAGGCAACACAGAGGGTAGATATGTCCATGTAAAATAGTTTTATACCACATTTTTATCAATAAAATCTTTACAAATGATAGAATAAACACCTATTTATTGCCTCATTTACATTAAACTTACTCCAACAACCTCAAATCCTACTCATTGGTAAAGACCATGCTTGCACCCTCCCACATCCAGTAATTTCCTTTGGGTCTATAATGCTTGCCCCTCGGCCTCCCACATCCAGTCATTTCCTTTGGATGTTCAATGTGCTTGCCCCTCCCACATCCAGTAATTTCCTTTGGGTCTATAAAGCTTGCCCCCCTACATCCAGTCATTTCCTTTGGATGTATAATGCTTGCCCTTTCCACATCCAGTAACTTCCTTTGGGTCTATAATGCTTGTCCCTCCCACATCCAGAAACTTCCTTTGGGTCTCTATAATGCTTGCCCCTCACACATCCAGCCATTTCCTTTGGATGTATAATGCTTGCCCCTCCCACATCCAGTAATTTCATTTTGGTCTCTTTAATGCTTGCCCCCTCCCATATCCAGTTACTTCCTTTGGGTCTATAATGCTTGCCCCTCCCACATCCAGTAATTTCATTTTGGTCTCTTTAATGCTTGCCCCCTCCCATATCCAGTAACTTCCTTTGGGTCTATAATGCTTGCCCCATCCCACATCCAGTCATTTCCTTTGGATGTATAATGCTTGCCCCCTCCCATATCCAGTCATTCCCTTTGGATGTATAATGCTTGCCCCTCCCACATCCAGTCATTTCATTTGGGTCTATATTGCTTGCCCCCTCCCAAATCCAGTCATTTCCTTTTGCTGTATAATGCTTGCCCCTCCTACATCCAGTAATTTCCTTTGGGTCTATAATGCTTGCCCCTCTCATATCCAGTCATTTCCTTTTGATGTATAATGCTTGCCCCCTCCCACATCCAGTTATTTCCAATTTAATACTTGGTAATTTGCAATTACCAAACTGTTGTCAAATAAAAACAAACAAAAGCTGAGAACAGATATTTTACCTTAATCCTCCCAAGGAATTTCTCTCCAATAGCATCTTTATCATCTTTCTCTAAACCCAGTTCTCTTTTGATAACTTTCAGTTGTTCACGTAGAATATACTCCCTGTGTTGTTTCTTTACCTTCTCTTCAACCTGTTGTCAGGATATAAATAACATAATATGATGAGATTTTGTTTAAATACAGTAAGTTTACTCATTTTTTGTTATGGATTTATGATGCTGGTTTGTCACTCAAGACATACATGCTATAATTACCGGGACACCTTCCATCATAAGGGTAAAACGTTATGAATGCATTAATGACTTATGAAGATAATATAATATGAAGGTGTATACCAATAAACTGGTGTCAACTTTGCCTCTATATTACTACGTCACTGTAAGGTGTCCTGGTAAATCCATTTTTTAATAATTTACATTAAAGAATATTGCCTTAATTTTTTTCATTTAACGACAAAATCTTTTATGGGACAAGTGCCTGATTTTTAGGACAATTGCAGACATCCAGGACCATATGGCATGTATGTCTTAATCTATGCATGCTTGTTTAACAATGTTACTGTTCTGTTTACATTTTAGTTTCAATATCAATTGTGTTCAAGTCAACTTAACCTAAACAAAATAAAGCCATTTAATTTCTTATACACAAAACACTCTAATAACCTTAAAACATAGAGGATATTTTCTGCACATATAATGACTTTTGAACCCCAAGGTTATTCAGAGTTCTAATATACTGAAGGCGCAAGTTTCAAATTTCTAGTGGGAACATATTAGACATTTTTTAATTTTCTTCTTTTTAGTTCTTCCAACATCAGTTTTAATCAGTTTTAAATCTCCATTCAAGCAAATGTTTTATTTTTCTACTGTTAGTTTGCCTCTGAAGGTTGCTCAAAATCATTGATCAAATTACATGAAACATTTCATAACCTCTTTCCCAATTTTCTGCTGTAATTTACTTAGTTCATATTCCTTCTTCAACATTGATAGAGCCATCATAAGACGTTGTGGTATCTATAATAACAAATATAATTATATTGTCACACAAAAAATGCCTGAATACAAACAATAAAAGAAGCTGCTAGATGATACAGAAAAACAACTTCAACATACATGTACATAAAAAATTTACAGTACACTATTTTTACTTGTACTGAAAAGAATGATCAGACATTCTTTAAATAGAACAGTTTTGCTTGCACCTAAACTTTTCTTATAGATACTGCAAACTAAATTTTGAAGAAAATAAAATCATGAAAAGAAAAGGAACATTGTTCTTTGTTTAAAATTATAGCATGTAATGTTCTATTACATATAAATGGTAAAATTATGTTCAATACAGAAAACTTTGACATTATAACACCCTGTTTTCAACACTCCTCACAGTGATAACCTCCTTTGGCAGATTGAAATCAATGCCTTCAGAGATTGACGTCACATTGAAATTCAAATGTAAACATCAACCGTTACATAGAAAATTTAACATCATTTTTCTCTTTCTGTTTCATTTTTAACTTTTCGTCCCTACCTTTGAAATAGTTTATCAAAAAACTATCCTTAGTATACAAAATGATGAAAAATAAATTCAAAAGCTAAAAATTTTTTTTAACAGAATATTGTTAAAAAGTATGTGTGTGGTGGCACAGATCTCTGTACTGATAAGGGGAGATAACTGTGTAAGAGAGTGCCCCTCTTCCTGCAACTCTGCTAGGTTAAGGACAACAAAGTCTTACATTTGTTTCCTCAAGAACTTTCTGTAACTCTTCTGGCTCAGCAGATGTCATGGCAGCTCCTTTAAACACATAATATTCACTATATACATGTGAACTTACATAAAATCATTGAATTTTGTATATATCTTTTGGTTCAGTTTAAAGTTACATTAAATAAATATGTAAAAATATTTTGCCGTCGGCCTAAAAAACAAGCATTATACAGTTTCAAAAACCTTTTTAATATTTATGTTGTAAATCTCATCAAATATTGTTCATAAATTAGGATTTTAAACGGAAAACCCCACGATAACACTAAAGTTCGTTATACGAATTTTAAACTCGTGTATGCGCTACGTCACAGTGTTATAGCTGCCCCCCCCCCCCCCCCCCCCCCCCCCCCCCCCCCCCCCCCCCCCCCCCCCCCCCCCCCCCCCCCCCCCCCCCCCCCCCCCCCCCCCCCCCCCCGGAACACAGTAAATATGAGATTTTCTTGTGCAAAACATACTTTAACCGTTTTAGCTTCACGGTGCACTAGGCCTGTGGTTCAGAAAAAAGTAATCATCTCATAAAAAGGATTAAATTTGTATGAAAACATCCGTTACAATGCAGAAATATACTGTTAGATTAGAACTGCTGCACATAGTCATGTTTGTTGATATAATATTGATGTACGGATGAACCGAGGGCGGAGTTTCTCATGCAAACAGAAATAATTATTATTGTACCTCCGATTTCACCACAATGAGGTTGCCAATTGTTTATGCTTATAAAACTTATTTTGGTTGTCTTGACACCAAAATAAAATCTGGAGTCGATATGAAACCCAATTTATTAATGAAATGTCGCCATTTCTGTTTTTATGAAATTTATTTAATGTAGCTTTAAACATAATTTATTTAACAAATTTACAAACATGTATCATTTTACATCGCAATATATATGGATTGGAAAATAAGCATTACACTTCTATAATTTCTTTCCATGATGGAGTTTGTCTTTATCATTTTACTTTATATGATCAGAGCATGTTTTACATTTCAATATCAACAAAATTTTGTATGTTATCATTTAGTTATGATTTCTGATTCATTTTGCTTTTTGATTAACAAAATACACCAACCAAATTAGGAAAATTAGCAAAGTCAACATAATCACTGCTATTTGATTTTTTTTCTTACAACAGAGAAAACAAGTTTATTTAAACAAGATATGTTTGTAAAACATGTATGCCCCCTATGGGCAGCCAATTAGTCATGTGATCAGGTTATTATGCATGACTTCTGACCCAGTGAACAAAAAATTAATAAGGGTTATCTACTAGTCATGACTAGTTACAAGGTAATAATAATAGGTTGTGTGCAGCAATTTAAGTTATTACAAATCTTACCAAATAAAATATGCATACTTTTGTGAATCATGTAGGCCTCATTAATGACAGCCAAGTTGTTATATTACATAAGACCTTCAAATGTGTATACCAAAAGCATTTTAAGTTTAATATAAAAATACCAACCAAGGCAACTTGACTTGTTGAGTTATTGGTCAGAAACCATCTTAAAGTCAATTTGACACTGACCCCTTGACCCCAAAATCAATAGGGGTCATCTGCTGGTCATGACCAATCATCATACCAAGTTTGAAGTTCCTAGGCCTAAGCGTTCTTGAGTTATTGATCGGAAAAGGTTTTTACATCCAAGGTCAATGTGACCTTGGCCTTTGACCCCTTGACCCCAAAATCAATAGGGGTCATCTACTGGTCATGACCAATCACCATACCAAGTTTGAAGTTCCTAGGCCTAAGCGTTCTTTAGTTATTGATCGGAAACCGTTTTTACTTACAAGGTCAATGTGACCTTGACATTTGACCCCTTGACCCCAAAATCAATAGGGGTCATCTACTGGTCATGACCAATCACCATACCAAGTTTGAAGTTCCTAGGCCTAAGGGTTCTTTAGTTATCACTCGGAAACCATTTGGTCTACGGACCGACAGACAGACAAATGCAAAGCAATATACCCCCTCTTCTTTGAAGTGGGGGCATAATAATTATACCATGAGATGAAGATTACAAAATTAAAGTTTTTTATTCAGACATTATTAACTATTAAATACTTACCCATGTCACTCAAGAACACAGGATTATCAATGACTCTTTCACCAACTTGTATTGCCAGGCTTGCACTATGTAGTAAGAAGAAACACATTTTAAAAATAAGGAATTTCTTACACTTTTTTGTCATTTATACTTAAATCATAAAAAATAGACACATGCCAGGACATACCTTTATCAATATTCTAATGTTCAAGTTATTGCTTTTCTGACTTGTCATCTAAGTTTTTTTTACCCTTATCCTTCTTGAATAATATTAAGGTCTACCAAAATGAAAAATCAAGCAGGTAACAAGCTGCATTAGTGTGTAGAGAAGTTCATTTTCACAATGACAGTGAGAAGTCAATATTTTGGTTATCATTTGTCAGTTAATGTCTAATTTCAATACAATCTTTTTAAGAAACTTGGTCAACTCAAACCCTGACATCTGTGTTAATACACTCACCCTGGGCACAAGTTTCGTGCAAATATCTGTTTCTCTGACAGTGTCATACATATCATAACAACTTTACAGACAGACAAGACAAGATATGTAAATAAATACCTGAAGTAAGGGTTAAGAACGTTGATGTCTCTTATAGTTTGAACAACACCTGCTGTTAAAGCCTGCAAAACATTAATGCAAGTTCAGTTCAAAAAAACAATGAGTACAAAACACTCATCCCATCTTCTAAATATGTTGTTGTTTTTTACCTAGATGTACCATGTTTGTTTTTTTACAAGTTGTTTGTGAAATTCTCCTTAATGCAGTTAACAAATCATTATTAGAACTGAGCTTTATAGTTCTTGATATTCAAATAAGAAAGTTGTTGTTTTTTCATATGAAATGATGGTACAAATAATTATCAATATACTTTTATTTTTGTTTCCCCTTAATTGTCATCTAATCATGTATTTGTAAAATATGTCAAACAGTCATGTACTTATTTATGAAGCAATATGTATCTGAAACCTACATTGCTTAAAAAAAAATTTTTTTAGTAATTTTTTACTAAAACTAGAACTATCACAAAATGTGATTAATACCCCCACAAGACTGCTTCGGAAATGAGGTTGTTACTAGTAACAGAATATCTTGTAAAAGAATTGAAATATAGAGTTATGGTTGTGGGCAATTAAAGATTGTGGTTCTTGTATATTGCATTCGAATCCTTTCAATGTGGTTGGCCATTGATGAAGTTTTATTGAATTACTCTGTAATAAGTCCAGAAAGACAAAGAAAAGAAACAAAGGGCAATAACTCTATAAATACTGAAGATGGAGTTATAGTTCTTGTGCACTGCACTTCCTCTTTTTGTGCTTGACCATTGTATGAAGTTGTTTTGAAATTCAACCAGTACGTTTTAAGTTATGCTCCAGACAAGGAAAAGTATCAAAGGGCAGTAACTCTGTGTTTTGTCAAAATGGAGTTATGGCTCTTATGCACTGCACTTCCTTTTAATGTCCTTGACAACTGTATGAAGTTGTATTGAATTCCAAACAGTAGTTTTCAAGTTATGCTCTGGACAATGAAAAGTAACAAAGGGCAATAACTCTGTAATTTGTCAATATGGAGTTATGGTTCTTGTGCACTGCACTTCCTCTCAATGTGCTTGACCATTGTATGAAGTTATATTGAATTCCAACCATTAGTCTTCAAGTTATGCTCCGGACAAAAAAAAGCAATGGAAAAGTAACAAAGGGCAGTAACTCTGTAATTAGTCAAGATGGAGTTATAGTTCTTGTGCACTGCACTTCCTCTCAATGTGCTTGACCATTGTATGAAGTTATAATGAATTCCAACAATTAGTCTTCAAGTTATACTCCGGACAAAAGAAAGCAATGGAAAAGTAACAAAGGGCAATAACTCTGTAATTACTTTAGATAGAGTTATGGTTCTTATGCACTGCACTTCCCCTTACTGTGTTTGACAATTGTATGAAGTTGTTTTGAATTCCAACCAGTAATTTTCAAGTTATGCCCCGGACAAGGAAAAGTAACAAAGGGCAATAACTCTGTAGTTAGTCAAGATAGAGTTATGGTTCTTGTGCACTGCACTTCCTCTCAATGTGCTTGACCATTGTATGTAGTTATATTGAATTCCAACCATTAGTCTTCAAGTTATGGTCCAGACAAAAGAAAGCAATGGAAAAGTAACAAAGGGCAATAACTCTGTAATTACTTTAGATAGAGTTATGGTTCTTGTGCACTGCACTTCCCCTTATTGTGTTTGACAATTGTATGAAGTTGTTTTGAATTCCAACCAGTAGTTTTCAAGTTATGCCCCGGACAAGGAAAAGTAACAAAGGGCAGTAACTCTGTAATTAGTCAAGATAGAGTTATGGTTCTTGTGCACTGCACTTCCTCTCAATGTGCTTGACCATTGTATGTAGTTATATTGAATTCCAACCATTAGTTTTCAAGTTATGGTCCGGACAAAAGAAAGCAATGGAAAAGTAACAAAGGGCAATAACTCTGTAATTACTTTAGATAGAGTTATGGTTCTTGTGCACTGCACTTCCCCTTATTGTGTTTGACAATTGTATGAAGTTGTTTTGAATTCCAACCAGTAATTTTCAAGTTATGCCCCGGACAAGGAAAAGTAACAAAGGGCAATAACTCTGTAATTAGTCAAGATAGAGTTATGGTTCTTGTGCACTGCACTTCCTCTCAATGTGCTTGACCATTGTATGTAGTTATATTGAATTCCAACCATTAGTCTTCAAGTTATGGTCCGGACAAGGAAAATGCAACGGACGTCTGGACCGACCGACCGACCGCCCGACCGACCAACCGACCACCGGGTGACTCCTATATACCCCCCCAAACTTTGTTTTTGGGGGTATAAAAAATTAGCCAACAAAAAACCCTACTGATGTGTTTACCTTAATCTCATCGGTTGTTGTAAAAGGCTCATGTTTCACATTTTCAGTTTCCACCATTAAAACACCATCCAGTATCTCCCCTTTGAGCATTTCCTCTTGTGGTGACACATCCTCTGAGAATATAGATACATTATCATATAAAATTTCCCTTAAAAAAAAAAAACAATTCTTCTTGTTCATTATTGGTGGATGGAAGTATCTTAAAATTAACCCTTTCAAAAACTTAGCATATATGGAACTTGTGTTAAACACTTAATAAATGTGATACTGTGTAAATGATAAGGGAAACAAATTCATAAAAGTATAATAATTGATATTATTGCAATAAGAATTTGTCAAGAGTACAAATAAATACACAAACAATGCCCACTGCACATATTATCCACAGTTGTATGTTAAAATATACATAAATAACCCTGATTAATCGTTTTACCGGGGACAAAAACTTTAATTCGAATAATCGATGGTTTCGAATGATAGAAATCCAAACATAATGATAGACAACAACTAGTTATTTTTGACTGTAGGCCAATCATAGCAAAACTACTGTTGACATCACAATTGTTTCCAGTAATCAATCAGGAAAATAAATACAGTAAAAACCCGCTAATGAGACCAATGAAGGGACTTTACAAATCTGGTCTTAATATCGGGGTGGTCTCATTAATGAGTTTGGTCAAACAGAAAACCAGGCAATATATTAAGGGATACCATGTACTGTACACATGTTTAATTCTGGGCTAACCTTTTTCAAATGAGAAAATATTAAACATACACTATTATTTTTTTATTTTCATTTATTTTCTTTTATTTTTTAACATATAAATTTTTTAAACTTCTTTAGAGGTACAAAATGTATTATGAATGTCTTTTAAACACAAAGATATTTTTACATTCTTGTTAAAAAGAATGACATGACTTACTCAATTAAATCACCATTTTACTACAAAGCACATCGACCAAGTAACCTTTAATTATTTTCACAGTTTTCATCGCCGATAAAAACTTTAAAAACCTAATCGTATCATGTTTATGTTTGTTTAAAATTATGGAACGAAAGAGATAATGATAGCAGCAACACCTCTAAAAAACTTATTGAAAGTTTTCTGTTCAATATTTTGTTGTTTTAATCCTCCAGTTATGACATTAAAGGTGTGAAAAATTAAGAAATTATCGACAATATTATTGATCATTTCCGGTTTGATACAAAAGTAACCTTGACCTCTGCCGTAAATTGGATGTCGTTAAATGTCGTACAACTAGGACAACTGTTGTTTACACTACGTGTCAAAAGATTTCAGCAATATATATGCATGTCAATATCAAGGTGAGAAAGTGCCCGCGGTCGTATTTATGGGTTTCCAAATGTACAGAATTTACGAAATGGGACTAAATTTACTGGTCGTATTACGGAATAACGGGGTGGTCTCAAAATCGGGGTTAGCGACCATTAAAATAAAGAATAAAAAAATCGGGTCTTTGAAAAATCGTTTGTATTAGCGGGTTGGTCTCGAAAACGGGGTGGTCGTAAAGCGGGTTTTTACTGTAAATAATGAAAGATGTTTAAAAAAAATTTCATTAATAAAAGTTTGCATTTCATACCAAATTATGCCGCACAAATACAGTAACATACTGTATTCATGAAAATAATGACATCGCTGTCATCTTCAAGCATTTACAGTAACAGCATCAGACACTGTGGGTGCACAATTTTAAATGTAGAAATTTATACAAGCAATATTAGGATATATTGTGATAGATTTGACATAATGTACTGATGTTAGATAATATAAGAAATATTTTAGTTTGTACCAGGGACAATTTATGTTTTTATATACAAATACACGAAAGTACTTGCTTGCCTTCTTTTACTTTAATTTGCTTGATTGACATAATTGAACCCTTTTAACTGTCTTATTATTGATACAAAATCAATTTTCGGTAATAAAAGAGTACACAAAGCGCACTGTAATTATCACGATTGTCTAAATACACGCATGTCTGTTAGAAAATTTTCTTAAGATTGAACAGTCAGCGAGATGATCAGCACCAATTAGTCTAGGTTCGAATAATAGGTGTGAAATTCTTTCATAAATGTATAATTGGGACCAAAATTTTACCTCGAAAAACAGGAGGGGTTTGGAAAATGCATTTCGAATAATACAATACGTTGGATGGTAGTCCCTATTCCACTAGTAAACACAGTGGAAATATGGCAATATAAATAGATAATTTTATATTATATTTTGTTTTCATAAAACTTGAATAGAATCACTTGGTTTGTTATATTTATGCATATGTTAACTCTATTTATTTTTCTAAAGTTTCATTTTTGAAAACATTTTGCCTCCAACCAGAAAATGATGAATACCGGGTATTTATGATTATAACCAGACCTTTAATCTCGGCTTCTTCTTCTTCCGTTTTTAAAAGTCCATTTCTTCTTTCTTTTCTGGTCATTTTCTGCGGCTTTTCAGTTATATTTTCTGCATTAGGAAAGCAAAAACAATCTATATAAATTATGCTTCCTTCAAAGCTAACATTGTTGTACCCTATTTGATAAAGTTATGATAAAACGTTTTCCTTATGTTTAAATATATATATGATATAAACCTAACAAAACACATTAATTTAAGAGAAAATGATCTGGCATATTCTAACCATTACCATGCTAAATATCTTAAATGAATTTGTCCAGCTTTCCATCTTGACAAACCATTAATCAATTTCAGGAAAAAGTTCGAAAAAAAGTACTAACAGATCATCAAATAGAGCAGAATATTCACAGGTTAGAACCAGATAAAGTATTCTTGAAACTTTTCCAAATTCTTTGAAAATAGAAACTTTAACTGTATTCAGATAAATATTCAGCATTTTTGCTTTTCACTGTAGATGAAAAATAATTCACTTATCATACATGAATTTACTGGTGATAAATGATGAACGTTTAACCGTATGTGTTAGACGGAATATAAAAGTGACATACCTTCAACTCTAGTATCTAAACCAAGCTCTTGCAACTGCTTCACAATCGATATTCTAAAAGAAGTAGACATGGTCAGTAATATATGCTGTTTAACATAGCAAAAATAGATTTTTAACAAATAAAAAAGTTTATGCCAGCTGGTTAGTCAAATATTGCCTCTATCTTAAAGTATAAGGGGTGAAAAGTGAGGCACCTTTGTATAACCCTAAGGCCTGATCTTCCATAAGAATACTTGAGAGTTTCTACACATTAAGATTAAATGAAATTAACATCCATTCCCCAATGGCTTGAAAGTGAATCAAAGTTTATGAGCCACACATTCTTTTTTTTTTTTTGCAATGAACAGATAGTTCATAGCTTCATTTAAGGTGACACAAACTATTTGTGTATGAAATCATTTCAAAGTCATATAAGCAAATTCCTTAAAGTTTCATCTAATTTGTACCAAACAATGCAAGCTTTACAATGGTATCAACCAGATTTGTTGTGTTCCTATTAATGTCCAACCCCATTAAGGGGGCATAGACATGTGCTTAAAAGTCATGCCAGTTAACCGCTTTCTGGGCGTCATAACCAGTAATTGCACCAGTGTGGATTGTGGAAAAGAATCCCACTACTAGTAGGATTCACACAAGTCTTCCAGATTAGATGATGCCTTGCTTTCTCCACTATATAGTTCAAACTGTCAACAACATAGACACTTCATATTTAGGTTGGATCCCTTATTTTACAATGAAATTTTAATAGAACTGCTTTATATGATCATTTACCTTCTGTGACCCTGGATGGTCATTCTTATTTTATTTTCTATCAATTGAACCTCTCTGATCTGAAAAAGTTCCAACTTTTATGGGACTCTGAGGGGTTTGGGCCCACAACACCATTTTTGGGTTACTAAAAAATTTAAAATTAAATCATTACTGCTCCCTAATGAAGAAAAAACAAAATTTGAAAAATGAAACCCCAATCCCAAAACCCCTTGATTTAAAGGGCTTTAAGCTGAAAGGGTCCATGAAATAATGTTTCATTATTAAAATATCAAGATTTGAAAATATCAAGATTTAAAAATGGTGAAAACATATGGCATAATTCTTAATACAGTACAACCCCTGCAGTGCAACCTTCTGTAGTGCAATAACCTCTTTACAATGGAAGTATCAATTCTTCCTAAAGTAACTTCACAACTGATTTAACGTCTCTAAAGCAACATCTTTCATCAATATTTAATTCATTTTTTTACCAAAGAGGTTTTCTCTGTAATGGTTGTACTGCATTTCTTATTGAATTTCCAGATCACTATATAATAACAAATCATGTACAAAATCTGTTTTGTCAATCATATATCCCCTACACAAATGTCTCACTTTGTCAGAAATGGATGTTAGGAAGTAATGGATGAGAAATATTAGATGTATGTATATTTTGCTTTGAACAGTATGATGGCAAGGCTCTGTGACTTGGTCTCAAGGTGACTGTGTTAGTGAAAGTTGACTGTGTTAGTGAAAGTTGACTGTGTTAGACTGTGTTAGAGAAAGTTGACTTTGATAGTGAAAGGTGACTGTTGTAGATGACTGTGATTGTGTAAGGTGACTGTGATAGATGACTTTGATAGTGTAAGGTGACTGCGATAGAGTAAGTTGACTGTGATAGTGTAAGGTGACTGTGATATGTGACTGTGATAGTGTAAGGTGATTGTGATAGTGTAAGGTGACTGTGTTAGTGTAAGGTGACTGTGTTAGTGAAAGGTGACTGTGATAGCGAAAGTTGACTGTGAAAGGTGACTGTGATAGTGAAAGGTGACTGTGACAGTGAAATGTGACTGAGGGTGACTGTGACAGTGAAAGGTGACTGTGTAAGTGTTAAGTGACTGTGTAAGTGTAAGGTGACTGTGTTAGTGAAAGGTGACTGTGATAGTGAAAGTTGACTGTGAAAGTGAAAGGTGACTGTGAAAGTGAAAGGTGACTGTGAATGTGAAAGGTGACTTTGTAACTGTATGGTGAGTGTGTTAGTGTAAGGCGACTGTGTTAGTGAAAGGTGACTGTGACAGTGAAAGTTGACTGTGTTAGTGTAATGTGAGTGTGTTAGTGTAAGGTGACTGTGATAGGTAACTGTGTTAGTTTAAGTTGACTGTGACAGTGAAAGGTGACTGTGTTAGTGAAAGGTGACTGTGATATTGAAAAGTGACTGTGTTAGTGTAAGGTGACTGTGATAGTGAAAGGTGACTGTGATAGTGAAAGGCGACTGTTATAGTGAAAGGTAACTGTGTTAGTGAAAGATTTCTGTGATAGGTGACTGTGATAGTGAAAAGTGACTGTGTTAGTGTAAGGTCGACTGTGATAGCAAAAAGTGACTGTGTCAGTGAAAAGTGACTGTGTTAGTGTAAGGTGACTGTGTTAGCAAAAGGTGATTGTGGTAGCGATAGGTGACTGTGATAGTGTAAGGTGACTGTGATAGCAAAAAGTGACTGTGTCAGTGAAAAGTGACTGTGTTAGTGTAAGGTGACTGTGTTAGCAAAAGGTGATTGTGGTAGCGATAGGTGACTGTGATAGTGTAAGGTGACTGTGATAGTGGTAGTTGACTGTGAAAGTGAAAAGTGACTGTGTTAGTGTAAGGTGACTGTGTTAGTAAAAGGTGACTGTGGTAGTAAAAGGTGACTGTGATAGTTAAAGTTCACTGTGATAGTCAATGGTGACTGTGTTAGTGAAAGGTGACTGTGTTAGTGTAAGGTGACTGTGAAAATAAAAGGTGACTGTGATAGTGAGGTTGACTGTATTAGTGAAAGGTGACTGTGATAGTAAAAGTTGACTGTGTTAGAGTAAGGTGACTGTGTTAGTGTAAGGTGACTGTGTTAGTGTAAGGTGACTGTGTTAGTGAAAGGTGACTGTGATAGTGAAAGGTGACTGTGTAAATTAAAGGTGACTGTGATAATGGAAGGTGATTGCGTAAGTGAAAGGTGACTTTGATAGTGCAAAATGCAGTGTTCAAAATAAGCGGTAGTCTGATAGCCCCCCCCCCCCCCCCCCTCCGGCTACTAAATTTATCACAGTAACAAGCCCGACCAGGCTATTGTATTTTCAGAGGCAAAATAAAACAACTGTTTTTAACAAATGAATCATGCTAGTGAAATGTCTTTTGGGCTAGTAAAATATTCCAAATCTGAATTTTTTACACTGAAAGTGACTGTGATAGTGAAAGGTGACTGTGTTAGTGAAAGTTCACTGTGTAAGTGAAAGGTGACTGTAATAGTGAAAGGTGACTGTGATAGTGAAAAGTGACTGTGTTAGTGAAATGTGACTGTGTTAGTGAAAGGTGACTGTAAAAGTGAAAGGTGACTGTGATAGTGAAAGGTGACTGTGTTAGTGAAATGTGACTGTGGAAGTGAAAGGTGACTGTGATAGTGAAATGTGACTGTGTTAGTGAAAGGTAACTGTGAAAGTGAAAGGTGACTGTGATAGTGCAAAGTGACTGCTCTGATTAAGGCTGGTTACTGTTTTAAACTCAAAAATTTAGTAGTTACTCTAATTAAGATTGGTTCTTTTATACAGATTTTTCAATGACACCATTTACACAAACTAAACATGGGGGCTTCTTCCCAAAAAAATTGAAAAGATTTGGGGCAAAAGGGCTAAAAATGGCCCAAACATGTCATCAAAAAATTTTTTTTTAAACCCTTTTTTTTTTCAAAAAAAGACCCCCCGCATTTAAAAGGGAAATTTTGTTTAACCCCTTTTTCATTATAAGAAACAATTAAAAACTTTTGTCCTCTATCTGAAAAAAATGTTTTTTCTGCTTGAAATGTTACGCAAAATTTTTTCAATAAATTTACATAGCCCAAACCCAAATTAAAAATTGTATAAACTCAACTTAAAAAAACAAATATATAACAAGAAAATGTTTTAAAAGGACAGGGAAAGCTTTACTATTCGAAAGTTTTCACAAGGGTTTTATTTATATAATAATGGCTTACCTATATGAAAACATTAAATTATCCGAAAAGATAAAAGGCTTGATATATGGATGTTTTATCGAGTTAATCACTGCTTTATTATTATGAATGCATAAAATTGTTTTAAAAAAGCACAAATTCTTCCGTAGTTATGGAGAAACCAGCTTACAAGCAAAAACTTTACCTATAATTTCTAAGCCCAAAAAGGGGCATAATTATGCAAAAAACAAATCAGAGTTATGGGACTTGTGCAAATCACATAAGATAATCACAGAGAACAAGTGTGTGAAGTTTCAATCCATTCCCTTCAGTAGTTATGGAGATACCAGCTCACACGCAAAAGCTTAACCAAGAATTTCTAAGTGGGAAAAGGGGCATAATTATGCAAAAAAGCAAATCAGAGTTATGGGACTTGTGCCAATCATGTTAGATAATCACAGAAAACAAGTGTGTGAAGTTTCAATCCATTCCCTTCAGTAGTTATGGAGATACCAGATTACACGCAAAAACTTAACCAAGAATTTTTAAGTCGAAAAAGGGACATGATTGGTTTGTGTCAATCATGTAAGATAATCACAGAGAACAAGTGTGTGAAGTTTCAATCCATTCCCTTAAGTAATTATGGAGATACCAGCTTACATACAAAAAAATAACAAAGAATTTCGAAGTCGAAAAAGGGGCATAATTATGCAAAAAAGCAAATCAGAGTTATGGGACTTATGTCAATCATGTAAGATAATCACAGAGAACAAGTGTGTGAAGTTTCAATCCATTCCCTTCAGTAGTGATGAAGATACCAGCTTATATGCAAAAACTTAACTACAGGGACACAAGCAAATGGGTGACTGCATTAGCTCGATTATTCTGCTTATGGTCAAGATAAAAAATAAGAACTCAACATAAAAAAACAAGAACACAAAAAACAAGAACAAACAATATTCATCTAAACATTAAAAGAATACAAAAATGTATACATTGATATTTCTAAGCAAGCATCATTTCTCTAAAGTCTTGTATATTTATTTAAAAAAAAAATTGAGGTAAGTGACTTACCTCTATAATCTTTTGGAAACGAGGGAAGATTGGAAATCTGTTGGTGGCTATGACAGGGACATTGGGCAACACCTCAGGAACAGACAAAGTGGCTATGGCATTAACTGGATAGTTTGATACTGGAGATACAATTTCTGGCTCTGCATCAACATTATCAGGATCATCTTCACCGTCACCCTCAGACCCCTGAGCTCCTGAGGCAGCATTGCTACTAGAACTATACCATGCAATCTGATTACGGTTAGATGATCCTCCATACGAAAAATAATTGTTTTCCTTTAAAGTTCGTGATACATGAGAGAGGTAAGAATGTCCAGTTGACAACAAACGTGCGTTTGAATATGTATTACATAAAGAGTTATTATTCTTCTGATGCAATGTCCTTTCAAGTTCAACTGGTTTTTTCATGTTTTTCTGTAGCAAAGATCTGTGGCAATAGTAGCATTTGGATGATTTACAAACATTGCTAATGTATGATGACGCTAAATATTCTCTTTTGCGAAAAGATCTCGCAATAACGGGTATTTTCAGTTGAAATTGGAAACATGTCCGCATGTGGGCTGCCATTTTGATCGCTCTCAGTTCATTAGACGCTTGACATCAGTTTCATAATCTATAGGCTGAACGCCACTACATATCTTCCATGATTTGCCCCAATCTCCTTTGTATTATTTTGTATGTATGTACTGTTTTATGTTCAAAAGTGTTGTCACATGCCCATACGGGCCCTGACTTATTCAAATTAACCGGTAAAGATGGATACCGAAAATAAGCTATTTTCGCGAAAATAAGATCGCGCTACGAAAATAAGATTTATTTTTGAAATAGTGCATTTATCTGTTGAAATAATTATGTAAGTTATATATTTATGCATTCTTTGCATGATTTCACAGCAAATTAAATTTTCAGAACCAAAAAAAAATATCTAAAAAAGTACAGTTTGAGCCGAAAATACATACGTACGAATATAGCTCAAATCGCCGTGTGAAAAAAAAACCCAGAAACAAAGACTACTGTCTACTGTATATAGAATATATGTACGAAAATAAAATCTATACAGTACTCTACGAAAATAAGATCTGTAAGTATGAAAATTATGTACATACGAAAATAAGGTTATACGAAAACAAGATATCTTAGTAAATAATACCTGTATGAAAATAATATATGTATGAAAATACTTATACTTGCACGAAAATAGGATCCAATTGAAAATCATGATGATCTATACGAAAATAAGATCTGTAAACAATTAAAACCCTTATGAATTGATATTTGTACGAAAACAAGATCTAATTGAAAATATGTTTTTTGCCAAAATAAGATATATATACGAAAATGAGCTATATTAAAAATACCTTCATGAAAATACTATATGTGCGAAAATAAGATCCTATTGAAAATGTTATCTATACGAAAATAAGATCTATAAAAAAAAATACTGTATGAATTGATATATCTGCACGAAAATAAGATCTCTGCAAACATAAAATCTGTATGAAAATAATGTTTTCAACTAAGATTTTTACAAATATTTTATAAGGTCTGTGAATATGAAATACGAAAATGATACAAATGTATGTGTATGAACATAATATCTGTTTCAGAATGATACGAAAAAATGATCAAAATCTGTAAATAATAGGATATCTAGCTATATGAAAATAAAATATCAATATGGAAATGATTTATACCAAAATAAAAGATAATTTAAAATACGTGTAATATAAAATAATATCTATATTTAGTAAAAGATCAGTATATATCTTTGTTGCTTTAGTGCTTTAATAAGATAATGCACGGACAAGATGAGAAGGAAAAAATTATACAACGTATGACACGTGCACATGGCTGTCGGCAGCAATCAATGCGCTAATACGATGCTTGGATTATTGGATTTTCGCACACGATCTTATTAATGCCCATCATTAAAGGTGTTTATTGGCGGTTTATCACAGTCACCAATCATATCAAAATATAGAATGATGTCTTAATTTTTTTTACAGATTTTGTTATCATACAGATATATTTTTACACAGATCTTATTTTTGTTAAAGATTTTACTTTATATTTTATGTATCTTATTTTTGTAAGGATATTATTTTTATTTCACAGATCTTACATTTGTAAAAATCTTAGTCGAATACAAACATTATTTTCATACAAATCTTATTTAATGTCTATTCAACTCCATGATCTTATATAGCCTATATTTTGGTTATATGTTCATGCGTTCTTTCTATACTAAATTTTGAATACTTACGTACGGATTTATATGTATTTACCATGTTTGCCGCACAGACGTCTAATATTTCATTACAAAACATTTCATTCTTTATTATTTCATTCATACAAATCATTTGATAACACCAAAAAATACGTTTTAATACATTATATCAAAGATAAATCTTATTTTTGTAGACCTGATCTTATTTTCGCTTTACGCAGTGATCTCCCTTATCAGTACTGCCAATGGAGGTAATCACTGTGAGGAGTTGGATTTCCCCAAATCCCCACGCAGTTATCTTCCCTTCTAATATTTTATGAATGTTGATCATTTCGGCTTGTTTCAATAATTAATCAAAGGGCCGCAAGCTCTGTGGTATTTTCTGATCTTTGCAATCTAAATCGTACTGTATATCTGTATGTATTTTCCTGTATAAGTTTATTTTTATATACTATCAAAGGACTGCAGCTCTATGGTATTTTCTGATCTTTGCAATCTAAATCATACTGACTATCTGTATGTACTTTCCTGTATAAGTTTATTTTTATATACTATAATTCATCTTACGCAGCGACAGCGTTTTGATTTTCTTCTATAACAGTTTGAGATTTACATATGGAATTTTGCATGAAAAAAAAATAGAATTGCCTCGACTAGGATTTGAACCATAGGCCTCTCACACCCTCAACGAGACCGCTTACCTCTGCACCACGGCGAAGTTATACATATAAACCTTGAATAAAAACGAATACATTATGTAATTCTAAATTGAGAATTTCCATTTCGTGTTTGTAATCCATATTAATTTCGAGGTATTTTGTTCACGATAAACGTGTTGTTTAACACTGAAAAAAATAATTTATCGAAAATCTTCTCGCCAAAACAGTCCGACATGTATAAATTCCACTACTCGACAGTCAGATTTATTTGTGTACTACGCTCTGGAGTATTCGGTAATCGGCATAGCTAAAAATAGCATTTTCATTGATTAAAATGATATTCATGATAATCCGAAGCTTTACGGAAATAGCCGAACATTTTTCATTGGGTAAAAAAGATATTCATCCGCGAAATTTGTGATTGTAACCTCATAATTCTATTGACTAATCTAAACTTTTAATGCAATGTAATTCGTTAAATGCCTACATTAAAAATTATTCTTTCTTTTAAATTGCTGGTTTTTAAGCAGTTTTGAGTGAGAACTACTTTGCGTTGTTAGGACTGTTAGGAAATTTTGTGTTAGACCGTGGATGTTAGCTATGTATTTACTGAACTTACGATCAGAAAATACAATAATTCATCTTACAGGGCACCGAGTTGCAGCGACTGCGTTTAGATTTTTTACTATAACACTTTGATTTTGATACAAACGAAATTTTGCATGACTAGAGTTGCATCAAAAATCATTTATGTTCATTTTTTATGACAGTCACACTTTATCCTTGCATAACGTGGCTACTTTCTGTAAAAGACACTTACAAAAAAAGTGGTTGCCTCGACTGTGATTTGAACCCCAGACCTCTCACACCCTAAACGAGCGCGTTACCCCTGCCCCACGGGAAAATTATACGAAATATGCCTGAATAAAATCAAATAATTCTAAATTTAAAATTTCCATTTCGGGTTTGTAATCCTTATAAATTTCGAGGTATTTTGTTCACGATAAACCTGTTAATCCTTTAATATATACGCGAATCAACGCACTTTGGACCCCCCCCCTTTTTTTTAGGCCTCAAATAGTGAAAAAATGTCCTATTTGGGCCCCAAACACATGTTTTCGTTTGTGAAATGTTGGTAAAAAAAAAGAGCACTTTTTCGCGCCGCCCCCATCCAAAAGATACACCAGGGGGTTGCCAGAAGGGGGATGTGCCCCCTTCTGTTAGGGGGGTTTGAAGGGGGGCGGAGTCGCCAAGAAAATTTTGGACTTGTGAGAGGCTAAAAATGACCCCAGGTCGATCATAATGTAACGTGTAACCAACGCTGAAAAGCCTTTGACTCTATCTCAATCCCTTGAGAAATTGCAGCACTTTGAAATTTGAAATAAATTTTGATGGAAAAAATCGAGGCTAAATAGTGATTTTTGGCCATTTTGAGATGTCCCCTCGTTGCCATGGTAACAGGAAATAAGACTGAGCATGTCGTTACAAAGGCAATGGTCCAGTCAACATTTGTGCCAAGTTTGATTAGTATTGAAGCATTTTTCATAGTTTCATAGCAGTTTGAACTTGTAACAGGAGGCTTTTCAGTGAAAACGGTCATTTTTCACAATAATTATGCTCATGGGGGAAAGGGTTAAATAACTTAGCGAAAATATTCTCGCCTGTATATAATCTACTGCTCGACTACTCTGGAGTTCCTTCCTCTTGTACTACGTTATTAGTCGCCGGTAGAAACCGGCGACTATATTTTTAACAGTTTAATAATATATCTATGGTAGGAGAAGGCCTTAAAATCTGTAAATAAAAGCATATCAATTACTGAACAATTAAAAACTACAATTGTTTTCAGTAATCTCAAAAATTCAAACATACAATAACGTTGCTCAATGAAATGAAATATTCAAATATTAACATCTTAAAAAGAAACATTACAATTTTTATAAAATGCATTAATGATGTATCCCTATGGATAAGTCATTGAATTTAGGGATAATTTTACTTATTTCAAAGTGTCAGACGTTGCTATTTTTTGATAAATAAATTATGCATGATATTTGAAATTACACTTTAAATTATCTGGTTGTTTGTATCTTATGAGACCTATTCTTTTTTTATTATTTTATTTAGCTAAAAACTATTTCTCCCTGTTTCTTTGTAAGAATCACGTGACTACACGTTGTATGTAATTGTTATAAAATCTATTTATAGTAACAAATGGCTGATAAGACAGACATACAGGTAACTTGTAAATGGTTGGCACATGGTATAGAAGCTGATAAAGTGCATATCAAAGTAATTTTGTTTGAATAATTACAAAATCTCGGTATGACGGTAGGGGGCCGGAATCATATTGGATACACAGAGAAAACTAATAAACTATCTTTTTTTGATAGCTTATCATTAAACGTTAACTATATCTTATGCAACGACGGGAATATTGGTTTCAACTAAATTATATATTTTTTCGATTGCGCATAAGAATAAATTTTTTTATGCAGCCACCACTTTTACAGTAGAATTGCATTGTTTTATGCAATAATTAAGCATATATATTTTCATAGTCACTTTGCAAATATTCGATGATCGGTAATTATTTGTCGGTAATTATCGGATTCTGAAGTAAACTGTATGGTACAACGGTATATCTATAAAGTAGAATTACAAGTAGAATTACAAGCATATCATTTGCTTTAGAAGCCTCGATGACAAGGTGTTAGATTTTCAGTAAGTTTCAAATTGAAAACTGTAGGTTCGATA